GGGTTGCTCAGGTATGGGTGTGGTGTTGTACTTTTCCATTGGTATTTTCGTACAGAGAACGGGTATGCAGGTACTTGGCGCAAGAGAATGGGGTTCCGCGAGTAGCAGGCCGAAAGTGGAAAAGATGCAAAAGGGATGGCAGCTCTAGCAATGCAATAGCAGCTCGAAAGAAAGAAGAAGTTCAAACGTTGTAAAGTACGCCGGCCCGCTAGACCTCATATGAGTGAGTGGTGTGCCAGGTTGAAGTTTTCCTCTATTCGTAAGGTATTTGTAGGTGACAAGGTAAGGTACCTGCTATAGGTAAAAATGCTGGAAGGAAGATATCTCAATCTGAAAATCCCCAAAACGCAATGTTGTCGAGCAGTCAAGGCAGGAGACAGACAGGCTGGACGGAGGTGCCTGCCATGCCTGCCCCTCTGAACGCACAGTGCGGCCAAAGTGCCCGTCTCAAGCGGTGGATCCGAGCTAACCATCCTCGGTCACCTACAGGTACGTACTCCCTGGCATCTTCCCGATTCCCCACACTGTTCTCCAGGTAAATCTCCACCTTTTGCCCAGTGCTACCGCCAATTAGAACCCAGAAAACACAGGGATGGGCGGGCTAGCAAGGCCAGGCCGGGCCTGTCAGGGCTCAGGGGTCGTGGCTAGTGGGGCCGCCCGTCTGCAAGTGACCAACCGTCTCAGACCATGTCCTCCAGGTCGTTGCTTCTTTGTTCACCCAACAGCAACTAACTACGCAGTAGAGCAAGAGCTGCCTCGACAGATCGTGGGTTTCGGGGTCAAGAGGGAAGGAAGCGGGGAAATAGAGCCTACCAGACCGGACTCTGTTTCCATTATGACAGACAGATGGAATCGAAATTGGAAACCAGCCATCAAAGTTGCTAACGGCATGCACACTACCTTACCACAACTACCTACAAAGTACATGGGAACCTCTCGCGACGTCTTGGCTCCTCCGCGTGCATCCGAATCGATGGTGGCACCTCGACGGGGACGTCTTGTTTCCACCTCAATGCGCAGCCTCTTTCATTGCTACCTTTCTTGCTAGTTCATGACTGGACCTCTGTTCGCACATCGATGCTACCTCGGTCTGCATAATTACATACTCTTCAAATCCTCACTACTTTCGTCGTGTTCCGGCCGAGACATCGACATACAGGAGACCGGAGCGACAAATTGCGGCAATGGCAGCCACGGCATACAACGGCACCCGTATCTATTCATATGGAGACCTCGCTATTCTGTTCTCAATCAAGACCAGCCTCGACGATCAAGAAGCTTCCTGAATAAAGCGGGCTGTACTGCCGTCTCTCCTGGTCAAGCCTTCACTCGCGTCTGCAGAAAATGATGGCACTCGCGCATGAGATTCTTCCGAATCCTACAAGGACAAATCACCTCAATCACCACCGCCCCGCTCATGACATGCAATGCCTGCAGAGAAGACGTTGTGTGATACGTCTGCATAGTACGCTCATGTACCCCAGTCGACGGCGGCATACGCATACACCTCAGATATTCGCCAGCGCGGCGTACTCCATACATTACATTGAAGTTATTGCATTTTTTTATAAAACAAATTTCGACGGTAAAATCATGTTTGCACATCCGATATTCCCCTCGGCCCACCATTCTTCCGTGATTGGGGATTTTGAGAGCCAAGAACAACTTCTAAAGATGCGACTATTACTCAGCAAAAATACACTATCGAAACATCTAGGGAGATCAACATGAGCGAAGAAGGAACTACTTTGGATCACTGACATGGATACCTACCTACCTGCGGTCAGAACGGTCCCGACGATGCCGTTAATACTGCAGCATTTCTTCTTGTATACTTTCCCTCAGCCTCCGGGCATGAAGTGGCCATCTGACCTCTATGCGGCTGTAACAGGCTGAGCCCATTCGTCCATCGCCGATCCTCCAACCTTTAGCGGCTTTTCGCCCTTTGATCAACAAATGGCCAGGTCCAACTTCGGTCAGCGGTGGCATGGTGCTGCAATCAGGAGGAGCATATTTGAACCATCAGCAAGACGAGCCAGCCAACCGGTTGATTGCATCCATCGTCCCAAGTGCTCAAGTACATCTAGTGGTCTCGCCGTTGCAGGGTCTCACCCTTCTACTGCTTGGCCTAGGCCGCGGACGTACGTGAGACACAGTCGTGATCCAAACACGTCTGTTTCTTGAACGCAATACAGAGCACGCGCCGCCATCATGTCCGGGAACACTATGTACGGCAGCGGGAGCCACGGTCTATGTTCGCATGGCGGTTTTCCTGGAAAGTTTGGAGGTTTGCCGTTGAAAGTTGCAAGGGTGGCTGGAATTAATTCTGCAGCTTGCCATCGACCCTCATCCCTCACCACCCCGCACTAAATCCATGTTCTACAATTGTCCGTGGGCTCACGTAACGCTACAAACAAGGTGACAAGGCACAAAGAAATCTCTTCCAGTTGACACCAGCTACTGTCAGTATGAGACGTCCCAACTTTTGCTGAGACCCTGTCCCACAAGTATCAGCTGAAGAGGAGGCATAGTCCCAAGTACCATGATGCAAGAAATCTGGAGCCACGGCCACTACTACCGGCACAGAGAGAGAGAGAGAGAGAGGAAGAAGATTACGAGCTACGAAATGGTGGCCCAGCTTTGCACTGGGTATCACCGGTCGATGACCAAGAGAAGACTATCACTACATATCATCACTGATGCCAAAGGAAGCAACCACTAGAGGCACAGGTGCATTTGCAGATGCAGGCAGAAGGTTTGGCGATGGAGGTCTGGGTTCAGGGCACTTCTCCGAGACCGAGAGGGGTAAGGATCTGTGGAGTAAACGGGCTGCTGCAGCATGTCACGCGCGCCCATCCCAAGCTAACCTCCTTCATCTTCAAAGGCTTCTTCGATTGGACTGCCTCACTGACCTCACAGTGGCATCATCCAGGCTCTAGGCGTATGGCACGGCTCGGAGCTTTCAATATCGAATCAGATGTAAATCCAGGTAAGCAATATTGGCGACGATGAAGGAACGCACTGCCGGCAACCGGTGGGCGGGAACAATGTCTGGTTCGCCTCTGCCATAAATGCGACCCCGGATGAGTTTCCGCCTCGAAGTCGACGCACTAATAGATGCGCAGAATCGCGCGTTTCGATTCCATCGACCAGCTGTAGGAGACTATGAACGCATATGCCATTGAAGGGTTTCCTTTCCTTTGGCCGTTTGACTGCCTTTCTACTCCTAATTTGCAGCTTGTCTATCGACCACACCCTGGTCAAAATGAGTGTGAGCGTCACGCATCAGTTTTGAAAGATGCGCCGAGCTTGAGACCTAGCAACCCAACCTATATCACGCATACGAAGGTGACGAGATACACATATCCTCTGCAATCGACAAGGTAATCCGATGGTCTACAAATGCGACTATTAAAGACGGCACCGAAACGCAACGTACCGCACCGTCACTAGAGATCGACGACACCCCCAAGCCGATGGAGGGCGAAAGTCAAAATCAGCCAGGGGGCGTTACCCCGGATTCTCATCTTGTCATTAAACTCAACCGTGGGCGGCTGGTGCAACGGCTCTCCAAAAAGCCAGAAGTCAAAAAGCGACCAGAAAAACGTCTGAGCGGAAAACAAACATTCACAACCTGGGAGCACCTACACGGATCGTAAAGGGAATCATCTGGAAGTTTGACCTTGGAGTGTTGGGTTTCTTCCAAGTTGCTGCTCACCGAGCGGCGCTACTGCAACTAAAGACGGATACTCAGGGTCTCCAAAATCGGCCCTCTCCTGGCCCACCTGGCGCGACCACAACTGTTCCTCTTTCGCATCTGGTCTGCCTCAGATTGCAGTAAAAGTCGGCATCAAAATATCATGGCTTGCCGTTCGCAACTCATTCTGTACTGCGGTTCTGGAGCAACGTCAACAGGGGCTTGCCAATCGTTTTCTAGGGGGCACTGGTGGTACTCGGTGCGGAGGCAGAGACGGGACAAGCATACTCCCGGCAGACTGGCATGATGATGAGGAGATGCGGCACGAGATCAGCGGAAGTCAGGGAACCTAAACTTGACCGAGCAGAAAAGACGAGCCAGGAAGTCGGTGGGCCGACGACCTCCTGAGGCCTGTTTGAGGAGAGAAAGAGGGGTGGGAAACAAGCCGGAGATGACTGTTTTGATGCGGTACGGAACTTGGGAACTTGGAAGGACTTGGACGTTAAAACCACTCTCTGGATTGCTGAATCGCAGGGACGCCAGGACGCCAGAGAGTTGAGGGGTTTCGATGATTCGATGAGGGGTTCCTGCACGGGAACAGCCACCCCCGGCTCCCCGCCCTGATCCGCTGCAGCAACCCTTGGCTGGGCCAGAGTCCAATCACGACGAGGGCAATAAGGGAAAACCCTCCGCCAACCCTGCTGGGCCTGCGCGTTTCGTTACGAGGGATATCGGTCTCGAACGCGGCTTGTCTAACAGGCCATGGCCGATCTTTACCCGCATTGTCGACGGCATTGGTCTGAATTCTGCAATTTGACTTGACGCCGCCGGTGGTATGGTTGTGCGCAAAAGGCCCTCATAGGCTCGCCCATATCGTCATCCATCTGGACCAGGACCGGCCTCGGTTCATAACTTTACTTTTTTTTTTCCTTTCGAGGCGACACAGCCCGGTCCGGGTCAGTGAGGCATCACATCCGACCGAACACGAGGCTAAGCGATCGCAGTTTGCAAGGTTAGGTCTCGGATCAAGTCCCTGCCAGTGCTCTCCTTGACTAGCGAGGCTGGTGTAGCCCTACATATCCGTGGGAGAGGCTGCGATGGAGGAATGGCAGTGTACGGTTTCGGTAGTGGGTATTGTCTACTTCACCGGGTTGAAGCCGGATGAATCGTTTCTCTTAATTGTACAGCAGTTCTACAGGTATCGTGCGCCTCCTCAATATCTTGTTGATTTCGTCATCTCTCAAAGGGTTTGAGAGACACTTTTAGCCAGTCCTCCTCATATCGCATTCGGGCATGCTACTTCTTATGCCGCGGTTGCCTCGGGTCCCTTTTGGGACTTGAGCTTCTCCTCAAACTTTGCAAATTCTTGGATGGCAATCTCCTCCTCTTGGTCGAGGATCTGCTCGACGGACTTGACCTCCTCGATCTAGAGATGCCAGCGTCAGCACGTATATTCAACGGTTGTTCAGGCGGCCATTTCCAAGAAAATCTTCAGGAAACCCCCCAAGAATCATAGGTGTCGAGTCAACTTACATAATGCATCAACATGCTCTCGATACCATTCTTCAACGTCACGGTGCTGGAATCGCACGTCCGGCACGCACCGCGGAGCTTCAGCAGCACGGTACCCTCGTCCGTGAACCCGCGGAACTCGATATCGCCGCCGTCTTCCTGGATAGCAGGCCGTATCCTCGTCTCGAGCAGCTCCTTGATCATGCCGACGACCTCGCTGTCGTTCTCGTCGTACGCCAAGCTGTCGGGCTCCTCGGGGGCGCCATCGGCCGCCGCACCGGCACCGCCCTCCTTGTCCGCCGAGACGGTGACGATGGTCTGGCCCGAGGTGATGGCCTCGGTGATGAGGGCAAAGATCTCGGGACGGATATGCGCCCAGTTCGCGTCGGGGGACTTGTTCACGGTGATGAAGTCGGCGCCGTAGAAGACCGAGGTGACGCCGTCAATGTTCATGAGCTGGGCGGCCAGCGGGGACGGGTAGGGCGGCGCGATGGTGGAGCGCGGGTTGAGGTACTCGATGAAGGGGGTGGAGAGGGTGTCGGGGAGGATGCGGTGATTCGGGAGGAACTTTACGGCGTCTGGGTTGGGCGTGTTTTCAGTTTGGATGAAGATTGTGCGGACGGCGCCGGTGCGGGCGGCGAAGGGGGATGGTCGCTTGAGGGATTGCTGTCGACTTGCTGTTGTCGGGCGACGTTGTGATGTTTGGTTCTGTTGGAGGAAGCCGGTGTGTACACCGGTGAAGGATCGCGATTGTGAGAGTCGGGAGGTGGCGGGCCTGGATGTGCGCGCGACGGCGCGGAGGGCCGTCCTCGTTGCTCTGTACGATGACATTGTGGCGAAAGGTAAATGTGTTTGATGTTTGTCGGTTTCTCTCCGATCCGTTTATTCGTCGCTTTCGTCGTTGTTGATTGAATATTACGATGTCGGGGGGGGGCGGAGGTGTTTTGGTCGGCCCAAGAGAGAAGTAAAAAATAAAAAAAGTCGTAGAATAGAGGTGTATGGAGGGGAAGATGTACTGTCGAAAATGTTGATTATTCAGAACGTACACATTTAGCAAACCTCACACCTCGGCATTGCATCCGGTGACGGAACCTTTACTTTTCGCCGCAGGGCAAATTACAGCGCGCGAGAAAAAAGGTTGACAAAACTGGATGAGCTTTCCACTTTTTTGGCAGTTGCCTCTCAATTCCGAGGCGTTGCATTACCAATCATCGAGGCTCTTTGCGTGAATTGGTCAGTTTTGGGTCCCTTCGCTTTCGGGGGTCGGGGTCGGGGTCAGTGAACGGTGGACGGTGGACCACCCAGTCAATACTGGGGGGGTTCGGACAGCTGGGTAAGAATGACGCAGAAAACTGCCACTCATGGAACCCCTCGGGTTGGTCCGTGGAATTCCCGATTTGAAGTGAATTTCTTTTTGTGGGGAGCTCGGGAACAACAGCTAAGCTACGGTGTTTTGGCGGTCGAGGGGGGCCCCTTTCACCGCCCACTCTTGGGAAGTTGAAAGTCACTGCGGATTTTATGGGAGAACCGCCCCGCCGGAAACTTGTCAAACATGGGGACAGACGGCAGAAAAAAAAGTTTCGAAAAAAAAGAGCCCAAAGCAGAGAAGTCTCTCCCAACCCAACTGGCAGAAAGAGAAAAAAAAGAAAAGAAAAAACATAAACGGAAGATAGGGAACAAAAAAAAGGAACGCGGGGTTATCGTTACTAAACACGACCAAACGACGTTATCTCGATCCTTGACCACCTACCTACCTTACCTTACCTTACCAATCCGTACCCTGAACCCCAAAGGCTTGACCTTACCCTTGTCTCTAGTCAGCACTTTATCCGTATTTACATTTCCTTTCGGAGGCGTCACGGCAACATCACCATCGAACATCGACGTAACATAACCCGACGACGGAGGGCAGCTTCCTAGCAAACAGGCACTCTTCCACGACACTCGTTTTCACCAGCGACCCGTGACCGTAGCGACAACCCCTTCCCACCCCCTCTTCCTTCGCCTTCTCCAGAACCACGAAGTAACCGAGCAAACCACCAGCTTCCCACTTCCCTCTCTCTTCCTTGCAAAATGTCAATCCCAGACGACACCTCCACCAATGCCGCCCCCCCAACATCACCCAAACGCGCCGCACAAGACGACCTAGCAACCGAACCCGAGTCTCAACCCCCAGCCACGAAACGGTCCCGCGCCACGAGCCCCTCGCAAGACGACGACGACGACGACGATAGCGAGGCAAAGACGAGAGCTACGACGGCGGCGATGGCGAATGCGTCCCTGACGGCGGGCGAGGGCGAGGGCGAGCGGGACGTTAGTGACGTTGCAGCGGCGGCACAAACGACACAGATACAGACACAACCAGCGGCAGAAGCAGCAGCACACGAAACGCCAGAGACGACAACGACACAGCCTCCCCCGTCTGCGCCAAAGACCAAGATGTGTGGAGTGTGTCACGAAAAAGAGGGAAAGTACAAGTGCACGCGCTGCGCATTACCATTGTACGTACTTTTGTTTGCTTCATACCGTGTTATTTCTTCAAAAAATTACTCATGCTTCATTATACGTGTTTTGTTTCTCATTATATACATTATCTTTACTGACTTGTTGGCTTTCCTTTCCCTCCAGCTGCTCCGTCCCGTGTAACAAGACGCACCGCGAGAACCACCCGCCCGATCCCGAACCGGCGCCGAAACCTGCCTCAGCCGCCGTCGAGCCCCCTGCGCCGAGCAGCGCCGCCGCCGCCGCCCGGGACCCAAGAAACCCATTTAGCGTCCTCGACGACTCGGACCAGCTCCGGTACCTCTTCCGACGGTACCCGACGCTACAGACGCAACTCCTCGAAATCTTCGCCGCCACGGAGCCGCCGCCGGAGTTGCAGTCCACGGGGAGCAGCCTCAACGACATGATGAAGGCGCGGGCGTTGGCGGCCGCGAACCCGAAAAAGGAGCAGTGGACGCACGACGTCGGGATCCGCAAGGGGAAGGAGGCGCTGCGGAGGGCCAGGGCCGCAGACGGTGAGGACGGTGAGGGCGTCAGGGAGTACGTCGAGCTCATCAATCACCTCATGTCGCAGGCGAGCGCGGCGGCCGAGGCTGAGGAGGTAATTAGGAAACAGGCGGCCGAGAAGGATGCCGAGCTGATTAGGCGCCTCATGACGGAGGACCGCGGGTGAGGGCCGTTTGGTTTTGAATTGGGCTATGGTTATGATTAGGGCGGGCGGCCTGCGTGTACTATGCGGCGGCCCTGTGTTGGATAAGGCGTACGTAACGCACACATACGTTCGACTGCGAGTGTGCTGTGGAAGCGCCGTGTATGCATAGATGGTATCGATCATCAGGTAAGGGTCCTATCTACTCCCTTGACAAAAGTTTTCTTTCAGAGCTCAGTGGTTGACTTTGAATCGCGCAAAGAATCCGCTCTTGGGCGACCTCAAAACCGTGTCGGACGGAGGGCTGTTGGCCCGGGAGTGGTTTTCTTCCCGCCCGTGTCTGGTGAGGGCTCCGAGCTTATGCTTCAGAGCCCATATGGAATCCGCCTTGCGCAGTGACGGCTTGGTCTTTGGCTGCGGCTGCGCTTCGTCACTTTGGGTCCAATCCACGCGGTGCTCATAAGGATTGTGATCCGCCGCCTCGGGATCATCAAGATGATACGGTGAAGAAGCACCAGACTCGAAGGGGAGGAGGATGTCGCCGGTCGTTGCTCGCCTGGCAGATCTGGTATGGTCCATCTCACCGGCCCGGCCAACACCCAGTGGCCCTTCAATGGTATGTCTGTGGTGGTTGCGGTCGCGGTGCGCGCGGGAGCTGCCCAACTCAGCCATTTCCGGAATCTGTTCGTGGGTGATAGGGGCGCGGTCCTGGTGCCTCTCGCGGTGGCCTTGAGCAATCCTGAGGGCCGTCCTCGAGAGCTTGCGAACGAGGCCCTTGCTGTCCGACGTTTCGGTCGTCGTTGTGCGTGAGAACTGCGCCGCGGCGAATTGTGGGATGAAGGGATGCTTGTCACCGTCAGAGCCTTTGCGTTTTGAAGACGAATCCTTTCCGCCAGACTTGGAGCTGCGGGTGTCTGCGTCGAACGTCTTGGACTTTGACCTTGCGGAGCTGCCAGAGTCCACTCTCTCCTTGGTTGGCTTGACGGCGTGCGCCGCAGGCCTGGTGGTGGTGGTGGTGGACTGGCCAGGCTTGAGCGACCCTTGATCGAGATACTCCCTAGCCAAGCTTGCATGCTGTGGGTGACCATCCTGCAGCCCGTTGAGAATTGCAATCGGTGCTACCGGTGCTGACGGCGCGGTGGCCTCCACCCTGGCTCTCCTCCTTTTCTCAGCGTGAAGCTTCTGATCGGCAAGGACCTTGACCAGTTTTTGAGACAATTCCTCGGGGTCGAAGGGCATCGGCTGCGAGCACCGCTGTCTCGGCCGAGGAGGGGCGATTGGCTTGACGGGCTGAGCTGCCGCCGCCGTCGGCTGATCACGAGGATAGCTCATGTTGTATAACATGTCGATCGCTGAATGGAAGCCACTCCACCGATACTTGGGATTAAGATTGCAATTAGAGATTTAAATCTTTGAAATTCCGGACTGAATGTGAATAGCGAAATATGCGGTCTGTGCCGAGTTTGTTCGAAAACAAGACGCAGTCGTCGAGAGCGTTTCCGGACGGAGGGCGCTTTTCATGTATGTATAGTGATGCCCCAGTAACTGAGTGAACTGAGAGAACGCGGGGGTGGGTTGATCGTCAGAGCAAGACGGGTCGGGTAGTTAAGGTTGTTTGTTTCGTGGCAGGGGTAGTCATGTAGGTAGCATCCGCTGCTGAAAAGAGGCTTGCTTTCCTTTGACGTGAAGGCCGGTTGAATGCGCCCCAGTGAGTGAGAGAAAAAGACGAAGAGGGTCTACAGTTGGAAAGTTGAACACCCTTTGATCAGACAGCGGTCTCGGGGGTCCTGGGGTTATGTATATGTCATACGACCGGGACGTGGGAACCGGACAAGCAAGCAAGCAAGCAAGCAAGCAAGCAGCACGCGGGCTCAATCCAAGGTTCAAGCGAGCGAAATGCACCACCGTCCGTCTGGACCAAGGCAGGTGAAGTGGGTCGGCGAGCTCTTCTTCCACGGTTCCAGGGTCCTGTCGTCCTGTCGGCTGTTACGAACGTCCAAGGCGCTGGACCTGCGTTTTGGGGCTGTTGGTGCGTGCGTGTGTGCGTGCCGGAGTGCGGCGGTTGGAGGTGGTGAATGAGGTCGGGCGAGGTGTGTATGTGCGTATGTGTGTGACGTGAAGTACGCAAAGGTCGATTAAACAGAGACAAGTGACAGTGGCAGAGAGACAAGAGACAGCAAAAAAAAAACAAAAAAAAAAAGGCGGAAAGATGGGCGAGAAGATGTCGGTGGTGTGCGTCGCAAGTCCCGCAGAGTCCCAGACAATATGTACCTCACGGGGACAAAGTTCAGACCTGCCACCAAGCGTACTATTTCCTCTCTCTCACTCTCTCACTTTGATTCTCTCCGTATGCGCTTGTGGTGACGGCGAGACAGAGAATGGGACGGGAGCCCGGTCTGGCTGAACTCGGACGACGGAGGGTGTAGGTTTTTGTGGTTTGGTGGCTGGCGCTGGAAGGATTAGAGAGACAACACACTTGACTTTGCGTAGTGTTGGTGTGCGTTTGTATGTGTGTAAGAAATGTGAGGGCGATCTAGCGAAAGACCGAGGAAAGAGATGAGAGACAAGAGAGGGCTGAAGAGTCAAGAAAAGTGACTGCGAGGGAGAAGTGAGAGACGGGCTTGCGAAGGGGGTGTGGGAAGGTGAAGAATTAAAAACCACAAGGGGGGGTCCACGGATGTCTTGACGGACACGAGCATTCCATAGGTTGCATTTTTTAGACACCTCTGATGGTATTTAATGGCTTGAAGGACTGACTGGTTTTGGTTCTGGTTTTGGTCCGGTGTGGATGGGAATGAATGCATGGGGGTTGGATTGGAGACCATTTGCACCCATTTAGACCAAAGGCAGCCAAGTACTCGGAGTCTCAGGGGATACCATACTTCTTAGTCCATACCTTCAGCACGGCAAGCATGAGTGAACGGCTCCATGCTTGGAGAGCTTTACTTTGCACTTTCCATTCTGGAGCTCTTCGGGATTGCAGTTAAAGCAGGTGGGGGTTGGGAAATTCAACCGCCTTCCTCACGCATCACGCATCGCGCCGCCTATTTGGCTTCAGGTACCGGGCTTCAAAAGATCCCTCGCCTTGCCTCACTAAGCTGTATAACGGGGAATTGGATCTCTAAACCTGCCCACCTCACCTTACTATCCTTAGTAACCTTACCTGACGGAGACTTGTACCTTACCTTAAGCGGCGAGTATGGAGACTTGGGGGCCCTGGACAGTTCGTTCTCTGAGGGTTGCCCACCTTTCTTCGCGCTTGTCGGCACGGGGTGCATGGGACAAGCTATCAAACCTGCATACCACCGCCAGTCTACTAGACCTTTTCTTTCTTTCCATGACTTCCTCTTCCCTGTCCCTTTCCTTCTCTCGGCGGCACCCATCAACCCTGCGTATGTCGTTTGAATAAGTTCGGCGTGACGACCTACAAATGCTGCTGTACGAATAGCCGACTTCTCCGTACTAGTCCGATATGATTTCGTTAAAATATCGGTCCTAGCCCGTGGGCGAGTAAGGGCGCATGAACTGGGGTGCCGGAAGACGGACCACCACTACCAACGAACCCGAGCCATTCCCTATTCGACTAAGATCGTGACCTGCAAAGAAAACATACTACAAAAAAGAAGGTGACAGGGGATCCAAGGGGGGGAGAGAAAAAAATAAGGTAGCATGGCCGTGGTGCTTGAGCCTACCCTTTGGATGAACCGGCCGGACCAACGCGGTATGGCTCAACATGTTAGACGCCTTGTTGGTCATCCGAGTTACACTGGACCAGTGATCGGATGCCGCTTTGGGACTGTCTCCGGGCGTTCGCACGCTTCACCGACACCACACGGAGCCGGCTTCCTCCTCCCTTCTCCTCACTCCTCAGGAGCCTCGACCACTTCTTCGGACATCGGTGGCGCTGTCTGTTCTGAAACCTCGACAGCCCTTCGCCATCCGACCTCTGTATGAGAGCAGGGTCGGAGGGCAGGACAATGGCCAACCTGCCTTGTACGTTGTGATCTGAACATGCTTGTGATGTGTGTCGAAGGGTATGAGCGGGTACTAGTCACCGTATGGCAGCCTGTGGTGCGCTTCTTGCAAGTGTCAGGACTGGAGGCTAGAAGCCAGTCTGCTGCGGGAGAGGAAGGGGTAAAGGGGGATGTGACTAGTTACTTGACAAGCTCGATATGCACGGTGACTCCATGTGCGCCGCACAACCGAGTAGGACGGCGTGGTTTCTGTCTTCTGAGCCGTGGGTTGAGGTTGTTGGTGTCGACTACGGGAGGGTGTGGAGGTGATGCCACGTTCCTTCGGGTCACCGTCTCCCCCCAGTCTCGCGTCCCCCAGTCTCCCCCAGTTTTCCAACCCCAGACGAGGGCTGTCACGCTGGGTGCGGATAGATCGACAGAAGAGAAGTTCGACCGCGCCATCTGAAGCCTCCAGATATCCCAGCCATCGAGCATGGTGAGGTTGGCTTTTGGGCTCGCCTCTGTCTTGGAACCACCAGCAAATCATGGCCAGTAAGCAAGTAAGTCGACGGAGAAAAAGTAAAAGAAAAGAAATTATCAGCGACAAAGAAGAAGGAAGATCGGCGGCTCTCGGCAGTGAGTGGTATCCAGACGGTTAGTGAACGAACGCTGCAAATGCAGACGAAACCGGAAGACTCGATCCTCCAGGGAGGTTGTTAAACCCAACTAATGACAGAGTCAATCCTATTGGATATGATCAGAAAATGGGCCGCCAAGCGTCGTCTTATCTTTCAACGTTCCTGCAAAACACGCTGGATTCGGCCATGGCGCGATCTCCTCAATGGGCGCACCCGTGAATAGAACCGCAGCATCTCACCCCTAGACTCTAGACTCTTGACTTTGAGTCTGACCAACAGCAATTGTCTCGGTTGATGGTAGCACTACCTGCCTTGGTGAGAAATTCTGCTTGCCGTCCGAACAAACTGAACAGCACGCCAAGAAAGCTTTGTTGCTTTTCTCACTCAGTCCGTTGACTTCACCGCTCTCACCGCAATCCGTATATCGCAAAGAGGCGCGACCCCAAGCGCAGCAAGGCCTCTATGCAAAACACGCCATACAATATTCGGTGAGGTATCGCGAGAGAAAAGTGCCGTAGGAATGGTGTTGTCCACTTGTGCAGGTTGCTGCACGTCTGCATGTCTTGCCCTCGTATCGCCTTCCATGTAACCCTGCGCTGGGTTTTACGAAGCCATATCGTGCGGCTTGGCGATGCAGCCACGCATCCATCGATTGTGTTGCTGGCGGCACCCTGAAGTGCCGCGTACGAACCCCACAAGCAGCCTTCCATTTCCTGTATCCGTAGTTGTTGGAGGCACACAAGTCATTCTGCGACGCCACAGCTGCAAGTGTATGGATAAAGATTGGTGATCCGGCGCTGACCATTTTGGCTTGGCTAACACGCCCAATCCCCTGGCATTCTCTCTCGGAGCCGAGCCGGGCCTGATGTGTGGTTTGCGACCTAGGCGTAGTCTGACCACCAAGAGTGAAGAGTCAAGTCCCTCAACTCGATATGTAACTCAACCTCTTCAAATATTGTCGGCCCTCACAAAGAATGTTGAGCGAGAGCATGGCGTTCCACCTCATGATGGTTTTGGAATAGCAGTAGCCCGTATAACTAACTGAAGCGGGTACTGTTCACCAGACGACGCCGTCGTCAAGCCGTGGCTGGCATTTTTCAGTCTATTGAGAAGGCCAATGCCACAATCGGCCCGCTATCGACCATGCGGTTCTTCCGCTGCAGACCTGAAAAAGCAAGAAAGAAAAGAAAAAGGCCGGCTAGAGCGAGCGCTATTGCGTTGCACTGACTTGAATCCTAGTTGTTGACGAGATCGTGAAAACAACAAGTGAATGCCGCAATAACGTCATCAGCTGATGTTGGATGACTCCAGGCCTTCGTATGGTAGCTAGTGATATACACTTTGATGGAGGCACTCGGAACTATATCCGTAGCCAAAACGCAGGAACGTGGCCCAAGACAAGGGTCCTCCAGTGGAGAGATGCCAAGAACGCGGCCACAGTTTAGTCGAAGACGTTATTTCCACTGCGATCCGTGTCAGCGCCGCTTGCTGATCCTTCGTGTCAGAAGTCGAACGATAAGTTGTTTTCATCGTGAAACGGAAAAGGGTCAAGTAGCGCGATGTGGGATTTGCGAGGGGGGCTCGTTGGAACCGAAGATATCGGTACCATTTCTTCATTATTGTGATCCTCAGGTGGAAAAGGGCATGGGATAAGGGATGATCAGGCAATCTCTCAACGAACCGTGCTCAATTTTTGACAGAAGTTTATTCGAACCCGGCTCCAATCGTCCGAGTTGAGGCCGGTGCGTCGTCAGATGCCGAGAGAGGTTGGACGCATTGAACGAAGATGCCGCAACCGTACAGAAATACACAAAATTGTCTGTCTCCGCCGTGAAGTGGGCAAGATACTTGATGAAATATCCGTAGATGGGGCAACTTGTATCGCAACCCAGCCTGGTGGAATTTCAAGGCCAAATCTGCGTGCCAATGCCAGCCAAAGCTGACCGGCAACCTTCCGGGTCCCGAGCTACTGGAAAGCCTTAAAGTCATTGCCGGTATCATATTCCTAGAGGAAACACTTTGGAATGCCACTTATTTCGAGACGAAATCTAGAGTCTTTTTTTTCCCTGGTTCGTTCCACGGGGCAATGTGACTGCCAGTATGAGAAGGAGTCAACGATGGTGCGTTTCGAGAGCATGGCTTGATGGTAGTAGCAACCCTGCAGAACCTCGTGGAGCTAAACTGGGAAGCTTTATTGGCCTGCGGACCACGTGCTGATACGAAATTGCGATGGTTTGGGCGCCGGAGGATCATGGCGGAAGCTGGACTGCTTCATCTTGAGACATGAATGGTGTCTGTACGCGCGCCAGTAGCATTGTTCTTGACAGAAGCTTGTTGGGCATGAGTTTGGCCCTGCAGGAGTGACCCATGGTGAGCTTGTCGCGAGCTGGGTATCCGTACGTCATCGGTGAGTTGGTATTGGGTTTCGGCCCAAGTGAGTTTGCTGTTGGAAAAGGTAGATTGTCCAGACAAGTGCAGCCTACCTCGTGAGGACAGTGGGAAGAAGCGCAATAGTAAGTCTTGGAGTACATGGGGATGTTCATCTGGGGTTCAAGTCCTGAGCTGGTAGAGTTTGCAGACCGCCAGTTGATGATGTTGGTCGCAATGAGGAAACTTGAGCCGGAGCAGCGAGCCGGAGTCAACCCCGGACGACATGGCTCACGAGGTTTGATTTGGCTTGATTGTCGGTGGGCTACAGAGTATGTAGTTCGGGCTGCTCAATACAAGGGAAGAAAGCAATGATGGATGGTAACTCGGTAAGGCAGGTAGGTTAGGTTGGCGTTAGGAAGAAGCGGCATCTATGAATGCATAACACCATTAGGTACCTTTGGCGCATCGAAGCCGTCCACGGTACCTTACTAAGGTAGGTTAAGTTAGGTAGGTCCAGTAATGTAGGCCTCTAGCTTCGGAAGGAGAGGTCCACTGGAGCAGCAAGGGTCGTATGAGCATTCGTGGGGCACGGGCTCGCACCACATCCACCGAGAAAGGTAGTAGCTGTCTCCCTGCACTTTCAAGTTTCCACCTTGTATTTGGAGCCACTGAGGGTCTCGAGATATCTTGAATGGAGAAGATGGAAGGATGAATTCAGCAACGGTGACCAATCATTCGGCAGAAGGAAAGTTCAAGCGTTCCGTGGACGTCGAAGGGGTCCAGTGCTACCAGCACTTGCGGGTCTTGTGATTGGATGGATGGACCCCGGACAAAGTGAGTCTTGGGTCCACTCCACCTGGTGCCGGGGGCTCGAGCTTCTTGATTTCACAGTGTTCCTTCCTCCCGTCGTCCAGGAATGGAAGTACCTAGGTACCTACCTGCTGGTAGGTAATTACACAGTAGAACGGAAAGAGCACAGCTGCACAGGGCGCAGTGGAACATCCCTTGTCCTTTTCTCCGCTTTCCTGGTTGCTCCCGTCCACTTCTACTTTCAATTTCACGTCCACGTCCACGTCCACGTCCAGTCCCATCCCATGCAGCCGTTTCTGTCCTGAACCCCCCCCCCCCCCGTTGCAGGTGATAGAGTATCCATTCGCATCAGCTACCTTTCCCACCAGAGGGACGAATACGCTTATTTATCTCTGTACACTTATTTTTGACTACTCCAACTTGCTGATAAACCAGCAAGCGTACCCACGCCTTTCGTTTTTTGAGCTCCGGTAGGGTCGGCAGCCAATATACGGACAACGGAGACCTTACGCAGTAATCACTAGAAGCTCGGGTTTCTTGCTCTGCATTACCAAGTATCCGTACCTTACGGTATTACCCCTCAACGGCTCGTCTCTCGGTCAGCGGTCCTGATCGTCGCGGCCCCTTCCCGCTCTCCCGTTAGTCTCTCAATTCGTCTCCTGAAGGGACCTTGACGCTTCTTTCCCCTCCACCACCACCACCCCTATCCATTCCCTCATCTTACTTGGTCAAGGCCGGCCCCAAACCAGCGCAGCCTAGGATTCAACCATCCACAACTCCAACGACCAAAGGTACGTAAGGAAGCAAACCTACCATCCCCGGGCCCTCGGCCCCCTTCCAGAAGCAACAGGAACTGCGCATGCTGTGCTACAAACCAAAGGTGCCATTGTCGTTGGCGTTCTTCTGGTTTGGTACGATCTTGAACCCCCTAGTCAACGCTAGGGGACAAACGCTCCCTCCATCATCGTCCAGCCAAGTTGGCAGAATCCCAATCCCAATCTCAATCGCAATCGCACCAAGCTCGGTCCTGCACCGTATGCGCCGCGTCAATCGCCCCCCTTCCTGAATTTCCCTTCTGGAGCTTGGAAGGGGCCGGAGCCCTTGGCCTGGATCCGCGACTGACCTCATTTGTTGTGTGTCTAGCATCGTCGACGAACTGGACGCTTACGCTGCTCCTCTCAATCCACGCCCGTCACTTCTCACAAGCCCGACATCTGCGCACCGGTGGAGCTCCTAGCGAGAAAAAAAAAATAAACCAGGCCCCTTTTTCGAACCCCTGGTCTGCCGCACCACGAAGCTCTATCCTGATCCTGTTCCTGTCCCATCCTATCCGTACGAAGTATCCGTACTGCGTTTGCGCTATTCAGACGCACCCAGTACCTCTGACGGATACGCTTGTGTACCTGATCTGACGAGCCGCAGTCCCGTTCGTACGTACCTTACACTGTACCTACCTGACCGTACGGATACCTTGCTTGCCCAATCTTTGGTCAAGGTTTCTCACCGGCCCAGCAACCATTTCCAAGGGCCCCCGACGAGAAGCAAGGTACACACGAGGCAGACCACACTAAGAAGAACGGTCCCTGGTGGGTTTGCCATGCCTTCCTTGAGGCTCTGAAATCCCGGCTTTTAGTCAGTGCATCCACTGTCCCAAAAGTTTGGTTTTCACCCAAGGCCCTGCCAGTCCGCTCTGTTCTTGCCCAGTCGTGATCTTTTCAATCTCTTCTTCTTTGCACTTTGTATGTTTGCTTTCCCCGAATAGCCTCTGCCCTCCCCTGGTCGTGGCCATGGCGTCCGATCATATCGGAGCTCGAAAGGCTCACAGGAGTTCAGAAGGTTCCCGCATACCTCCGAGATACTATCACGCCGACCGCTCCACTGCTACCGCCGCTGTCTCCTCCTTCTCCTCCTCCCGAAGAACCGATCGCGACACCGCTCACCGATCCGCCCCTGCCGCTCCGAAGAGACATACACCTCACTACGCCGTCCACCGAGAGTCGTCGATCGAGCCAATACGGCCCTCTGCCACTGCCTCTGAACAACCTGCCAACTACCGCGACTCCTTCATCTCCATAGTCGACGACCCTTTCTTTCTGCGATTTGACGATAACAACATTGAAGGGGCGCTTGCACTCGACCCTCGTTGGGCTGCGACTTCATTTGACGACGCCGACGCCGAAGACGAAGGAGAGGAAAACGAAAACGAACAGGAAAACGCAGGCGACAGCCAGGAGGACGAAGACGACGAGGAGGAAGAATTCGATTTTGACGCTTTCGAGTTCCGCGATGACGACACGCCCAACGAGCGCTGGCCGCCCCCAAGAAGAGAGTCGTTGATAATAGGACATTCCTTGTACTGGGTAATAATGCCCCACTAGACACAGACTGCGGGGTAGCTGATGAGACGGGATTGGAAAAAAGGGGCTGACGATCATAGCAACCACCAACCTCCGCCATCATGGAGAGCCTCAATATCGCAGTCATTGGCGCCTCGGGCGTTGGCAAGTCGTCCTTCGTCCAGCGCGTGCTGGGCCTATCGCGACCACCCATAACCAATGCATCCAGCGTTCGCATGGTCGTCGACAATGTCACATACGGCGTGACGCTGATCGAGCTCGACCTCGAGTATTTTGAGCTGAACCCGCTGCAGCCCATCCAATGGCCGAAACAAATCAACGGCCACATCGTCCCGCGGGTCGATGGCGCCCTCATTATTTACGACGTCATGAATAAGGAGAGCATGAAGGAATTGCCCCAAACGATTGGTGAGCATGGTTCCCGCCGTTTGATTCGTCTGGACGCGGCGCGTCTTGCTGACACGCGCTAGCTGCTTTAACAAAGTCGGGTCTGCCGGCTGTCCTCGTCGCCAACAAATGCGATCATCCCGAGAGCGAACGGCAGGTTGATTCGCAGCGAGTCGCCAGCCACGAGTATTTCAAGTCGTGCGTCGGGGTGTTCAACCTGTCTACGAGTAGTCCAGAACGCGCCAGAGCGTGCTTGAACACGACGTTGAAAGCCTCGATCGCTTACCGCAAGGGTAATTGGAATCCGTCAATAAATGCACAATTACCCAGTGTTAATGCTGATGAAATGCCAGAATCACAATCGGAATCGGGCATGCCCCGCCGCCGTGCAGCCTCGGCGGCCAACCTCGAGGCCCACGACAGCTCCAACGGACGCCCGCTAAGTCAGCAGAGTAAACATAGCCGAGCGAGCTCTGATTTGTCGCTTCTTCGAGGTGTTCCCCCTCCCATCCCCGATCACTTACGTGGCCCACATCCTCCACGAAGTCCTCGAATAGCCGACTTTGGCGGCGCCCCTTCAAGTTCGGGCTCGTTCGGCCCATCCGATACCATCGAGGAGGAGTCTCAACAAACTGTCTCGAGCCAGCTACGGACACCTGGGATACGTCTCGACCGCGGGCCGACGGATTCGTTCCTAGACATGGAGGAGTCAGACGCCGAATCATTCAGATACTCGGAGGAGGTCCCCATTCTGCAACGGAGCGATGAGAGTTTCCTCGAGAAGCCGACTAAGTCGGCAGGTGTAGCCTTTGATGAACTCGTCGACCGGCTCATTGCTCCCCGGATGACCAAAGCGGACAACAACTTCTCCGATGTTTTCCTGTGTCTCTACCGGAAGTTTGCAGCACCAGGCGAGCTCTTCTCGGCCATACTCACGCGACTTGACCGCGTTAGAGACGACAAAGCAGCACATTATCTTTCCAAGACCGCAACACAGCTCAGAATCATCGAGGTCGTGGCAAAATGGGTCTCACTGTACCCTGGCGATTTTGCACGATCAGGAACTAGGCGGAATCTTGAAGAGTTCATCAAACATCTCTCCACCGAGCCAATCTTCTCCATCGCTGCACAGCAAATTCGGCGACATCTCGAATTCAGTGTGGTGGAGGATGACAACACCGGATGGGCAAAGTCGGACGAAGTTGCAGACGAAGAAGGCAGCAAACTTTTATCGAGAGAAAAGACGCGCTCAACATCAGACATGTCCAACGGTATGATCACCCTGAGCATCGACGACGACAGGACTCCAGACGAGAGACCTTCTGGCAGCTCCGACTTTTCCCAAGTGGACAGGACTAGTAGTGTGGGCACGCACGTTTCATTTCACTCTTACGACGAATACGAAAGAGAGGCAGCGAACATGGAGCCCACGGATGTGCTACCGATGAACAAGTTCCGTTACCACATTTTCATGGACATCACAGATGATGACATCGCCGATGAGATGACACGCATTGACTGGGTCATGTTTTCTTCCATCCGCATCAGAGATTTCGTGCGGCATGTGAGTCTCTCATTGGAGCAACGATCCAAATGCAAGAGTCTCAAGAACGTCAATCGGATGATTAACCACTTTAACCACGTGGCGAAGTGGGTTGCCAATCTCATATTGTTACGCGACAAGGCAAAGCATCGGTCTCAGATGCTGGAAAAATTCATGAACATTGCACAAAAGCTGCGGCGGCTTAACAATTACAACGGTTTGGCGGCCGTGCTCGCAGGGATCAACGGCACGGCGGTCCATCGCTTGGCGCAGACTTGGGCACTGGTGCCACCTGAAGCGCAAAAGTCGTTTGCGAAATTGGGTATTCTCATGGGCACGCAAAAGAGTCATTTTGCGTACCGACTGGCATGGGAGAATTCCCCGTTGCCGCGGATACCCTACATTCCACTGCACCGGAGAGACCTGGTCTCGGCCGAGGAGGGAAGCAAAACATTTGTGGGGCCTGAAGGCGACAGGGTCAACTGGAAGAAATTCGAGGTACTTGGTGAAGTACTGCTGCCGCTCATGAAGAGTCAGGGAACTGCGTATCCGAATCTCTCGAAGCACGAGGCAGCCAGGGAGCTGATTTTGGATTGCAGGATGCCAACAGATGAAGAAGTAAGTGAAGTCCCAGCACATGTCAACGACACAGCATGACTAACAGGTCGTCGCAGGAGATATATCAACGGAGTGTACAGCTGGAGAGCACGGCGGGCGGTGGTGCCGAGTACAACAAGAAGAAGTTCCCGTGGTTCGCCAAATAGAATCTGGCAAATCGGCGAAGTGTCTCGACGGGAAGACTCCTTTGCCCAACGACAACGAGAGCATAGACGGACGAAGGCGCAGCGTCTGCGGGCAAGCTGGTTATTAGCTCGCGCGAGACGTGATGACGCATGCATGCGTACATATCAACATGTCAGGTTCACGCAGCGTAGTGGGACTTTTTCTAGGCGATTTGGCTCGGGTTTTTTTCACGTTATAGATATCCTGTTCAGCAATTGATATCGAGGTTGATGATGGCCTCGAATTACTGTCGACACTGGTCCCGTCTGTCGAGTCCGACTTGTTCGAATCATGCCAGCAGAATGGCTGGACTAATGTTCTCCCGGATTGTGTGACGGCGAGAATGATCTTTTTTGTCTCAGGATTTTGCAATTCACATCAAGAACGGACGGTAACGCTAGCCATTAGGGCATAAGAGTCAAAGGAAGTCAGTGAGGCTCACCATGAACACCACCACCACCAGCGGCAGCAAACCACGTTTCTCTCGTCGGACCGGCGGGGCGTTGGAAGTGTGTCTTGGTTTGTACGGCGGCGGCAACCAGAACCAAAACAGCACCTCATCGACGATCGATTCACATATTCCCATGTGCCCTTGTCAGTCGGCGGTGGTCCAGGCCATGTCGGGGCCCCGGGGGTGGCAGCGACGGCCCAATGCAGTGAGATGTGGCCGGCGAAGAGCTGCCCCGCTAGGTTGGATGGAGGTGCGCTAAAGCCTATTGACGTCATGCTCCTGAAAGCTCTGATTTTAGCGTTTCAAAGAGAGGGGCAGCAAGGGGCGGCAGCAGCAGCAGCAGCCAGCCGCTGTAATATCGGTGTCCGGTAGCAATTGGATGGTTGTGGTTGAAGCGAGGAGAGCGAGAAGGGGGAACTTGGGGGAAAGAGACTCACGAAAGACGGTCAGTTGAAGCTCCTCCATCAGACTTCCATGCTGATCCCAGAGAGCAATTGGCAGGCAAGCGTTTGCTAGGTAAGGTTGTGCTGCTCAGCTACTCCTCCATGTCTTGCGGAGTGCGGAGACGAATGGGGGGCACTGGGGAACGCAGGCATTCAAGGTTGGCAAAGCCACAGGTACGTAAAATGGCACAAAATTTCTAGTGCGAGGTACCTTACGCAGGTCGTATGGATGGCGGTCATTCCAGATGGGCAAACAAAATGGCATGGCTCGAATGCCCCGCGGCCGTCACCCCCTCAACCTTGGATGCCTGCCCCCGATGTACTGCAGCTGCTTGCTCGCGGCTGTTACTGCCGCGGGCTGTGAGGCTAAGCTACCTACGGAGTACTCTCCAGAACCATGGAAGTTTTTTTGCTTACTCGTGTCGCAGCTGCTTGTTCGCTGTTACCTCCGCTGACACTCCGCACTGCACTTTGGCTATCAAGTGCCTACCTCGCTCGACTCATTGTCGTCGGTTGGGCTTTAGGTAGCTTTGTTATCGCGGCCCTTGGTTCCATTGGTTAGTTTCTTACCTTACCTTGTACCTGAAGATGCTGAGGCGCTATCTCATTCTTTTCGGACCAGAGCTCCCGCCATTGCCCGCGTCTTTCCCAACACGTCGGTTCCCTGCTGGCACATCCATCACCCAGGGCAGTGAGGCACATACATACTAGTAGCCGCATTTCTAATTTATTTTTCTCGTCTCTCTCGAGTCTCCCCCTCCAAATAAGACGCACCTACGCTATCTACCTACCTACCTACCTTACCTCCTGGTCCCCTACGCAATCTTGCATTCTGCAACCTCAAGAGTCTCGACCTTCCTCCCCTTGTTGAGCTAGCTCGACGACCAGGTTTGAACGAAACTGACCGCTTGTCGCTGAGGTTATCGTGATACGTGACGTGCTCTGCTCGTGCTGTTCTCGGTAGCATTGTTGGCTGGGGTCTGTCTCTGGTTCTTACTAAAGGTCGCCTCCATCCTAATACTGCACTTCGTCCCGCCGAACCTACACCCTCTCTCTCTTTTCTCGCCACAAGCCCACAACTCGCTCCCAATCCTACGTCCTGGAAATCCCTCAAGCCTCAACGACACTGCCTCCGCTGTCGTGAAGGGCGTGCTCTGTCTCTCCAACGCTACGAGGTGTCCATTCGCCCACCATGGTTGTCTTTGACGGTCACGAGTACCTCACCGAGGAGGAGAAGCGTCTCAAGGAAGACCGCAGGCGCGAGAAGTACTGGAAGAAATGGGGCCCCTACGTTGCCGAACGCCAATGGGCCACTGGTGAGTAGCAGCTCAAGCTCCAGCTTCAAATCCAGCCCCAGCTGCTACCGTTGCTGCTGCAATTGGTGCTGCAATTGGTGCTGCTGCTGGTAATTTTG